CCCCCCTTTTTTTTTTTTTTAAGTCGAAACTCTGCCCTTTTTATCATACCAATGCCCCTGGGAACCAGGCAATGTGCTAATTAGCTGTTACTTTTCATGTCTTTGGATTGAGTTCTCTAACATGGGGGGTGGGGGGGAAGAAGAGATTAATATAAAAAGATGAATACTGGTTGATCAAAACTGCATCTGCAGAGGAGCGGTTTTGTTCAGAATCAGAAAAGTCCTCATTTTCATCTCGAGCATAATAAAGCCTCTGAAATGATAAAAGCGCCTGAAAAAAAAAAAATCAAATGCTTCTGAGTGGGAGGGAAAGCTTTTTTATCATACCTCTATCTTAGCTGGTACGCCTCGCTTTGCCTTTTCAGGCCGGAGACCTTTGAATCTCCCAACAAAACCGGCCACTATTGATCCATTTTACACATTTGAGTTGATAGATCTAATCCCAGCGATCACTGGCTGAAAGAGGGGGTGCTTAATTAAGCCTAAAGCTCCTTTTCACAGCCCCAGGTTGATGGGTGCCCAGCGGAAGGGCAGGGAGGGGGAGGCAGGGGGTGGTCCCGCTCCGCTCAGCACTGTGTGTCCCCCCACAGCCGCCTCCGCCGTGGTCCCCATCCCCGGCACCTTCTCCTGGCCGCTGGCAGCCCGCGGTAAGCCCCGCCGTGGCATGCTGCGTCGGGCCGTCTTCTCCGACGTGCAGCGCAAGGCGCTGGAGAAGATGTTCCAGAAGCAGAAGTACATCAGCAAACCTGATAGGAAGAAGTTGGCGGCCAAGCTGGGCCTCAAGGACTCACAGGTGAGAGCGGTGCCGGGTGGGGAGAGCAGAGGGGGTGTGGGGAGCTGCCCCCCCACCCCCAGGGACAGCTTGGGAGAAGGGGAGGAGAAGGGGACAGGAGCAGGGAGAACTGCCCACGACCGGGAGAGAGCCCAAAGCAAGCTACAGGGCCATGAGCATCAACAGAGCAGCACGATTCCCAGCTGGGTGAGTAGGACAGGACAGACCACAGCCTTATTGCCCTTCAACTTGCCCTCCTCTTCTAGGGTCCCCAAAGGTCAGGTTCTGAGGTTCCCATTAGCTTCGGTACAGGCATGGACAGGGTTTGAGGGTGCAACCAAAAGGCTTTTCCTGGTCCCTGTTTTACTGAACTGTTTCATTTCTTTGTTGCTTCACCCTCCAGGTGAAGATCTGGTTCCAGAACAGGAGGATGAAGTGGAGGAACTCCAAAGAAAGAGAGCTCCTCTCTTCTGGTGGCTGCAGAGAACAGACCCTACCCACCAAGTTCAACCCTCATCCAGATCTCAGTGATGTAGGCAAGAAGTGTTCAGGAGAGGAGGAGGAGGAGGAGGAGGAAGTTCCCCCCATGTGCCCACCCAGCCCCCGGCATCCCTTAACCTACCACCAGTCCCCAGAACATCTACACTTGAGGGACAGACCGGACTCCCAGATGTCTCCTTCTCCATCCCATTCTAGCAGCCCCAGCAAACCTTCAGACTTCTCAGACTCAGAGGAAGAGGATGATGAACAGGAAGAGGAAGAGGAGGAGATAACAGTCTCTTAGATCACCTGTCTGCCCCTGCCATCACATGGGGACATTGCAAAGATGTAAATAACACAAAGTGCTATAAATTGAAGAGGTGATGTCCCACCCAAACGTCCACATGCTTCTCCAATGCAGGTTCTTCTATCACATAGCTGCAAGATTTTCTGCTCACAGCTATTCCTTATTCTTTGCCCCATGTGGAGGTTTTCATATTCATCACATCGGCCAACCTTTCCATAACTGTCTCTGCTTAACAATCAACACCTCCTCAATTAGCTCCCTTCTCCCAGAAACAGGCAGCTCCTTGCCTTAGAGCAGGGAGGAAAGCACAGCTTGTTAGAAGGGAAACATCTTCCCCCCAGATAAGAAACAGCAAAAAAATACAATGTAGATGCTGTGGCCATTTTTACTGCCTTTCAAGTGAATTTCCAGCTACTATTAAGATTTCAAAACCCTGAAGCCTGGTCTGACCTAGCAACCCCATCCTCCAAAATTAAATAGCCCTGAGGGGCACAGACCAAACGCTGCCTCCCTCCTCACCCCAAATACCACAATTCTCATGCAACAGACCCATTGAAATCCCTGGAATGACTTCTGAGGTATAACGTAAGTGTGCCTTGTGCAATGAAGACCTTATTTATGTTTTTTTCATTTTAATTTATGCATCAATATTACATTCAAAGCACTGTCTAACCCATCTTTTTGCCCACAGGCTTGTGCTTATTTTCCACTTTGCTTCTGCTATCCATGGTGTGGACAGAGGAAAGTGGGTACGCCTCTTTGATTTTTGACTGAACTTTGCTGTCTTTGCACAGCTTATATGAACTGTACACTATTTTGTACACTTACTCTGTATGGATGTTTTATACCAAGGTTATTGTGAATGAATATAACGATGGCTCAACAAGGTCTCTCTCTTTTTTAATTGAATGACAGCTAAACTACAGACAAATGTAGCTGTTTAATTGTGTAACTTATAAAAACACCTTTATTTTGTATTTTACCATGTACAGGCCTTAAATATGTATATATAATAAAGTGAATGATTGTCAAATAAAAAAGAAGTGGATTTCCAAGTTTGATCGTTCAGTAGTACTTGGTTCTGGTTTACAGGTTGTTGTAGCCTGTGTCTGGGGCCAAACAGGGAAAGAAAAGAAAACTACCTTTTATCTACAGTGTAGCGATTCAATAAGAATTTATCAGCTTCAAATTAAATCATGTTACAGGAATACCTACCTGCCTTTTAACTAGGGAGCAACTCAACCAAAGTATTGAAGATATCCTGTAGTTAAAATGAACACGTTCTCCCTCCTTGCATTTAAATGCAACTTAATTTCTGCTGGTGTTACCCTGTGCTCCCCTCCAAAGCCTTTCTGACCCCCATCCTTCCTTCCAGTTACTGCCCAGGTAGGTCGGGGTGTGGACACCTGCCCTGCACCACCCTGCTGAGATACTACAGTTTGTAGACTGGGAGCATGCAATTAGAACATTCTTATGGGGCAGAGAAACAGAATGAAAGAGAGAGACTTAAGACGACTCTTCAGCCTTAAGTCCAGCCAAGGATCACTTCTACAACACAAGGCAAATCCATAACTACCTGAGTATTTATTTTTTTTTTTAGATACAAATACACACTACAGAAACATCAATGTTTTCCACCTTGCATGCAGGTAGTGGAGTTCTGCTGAAACAGAGATTTTGTTACAAAATTAGTTTATTTTCTGCTCCGTTGATCTGACTAGTGCCCACCACTCACAACACACCAAAACAAAGAAATAAATGGAGCAGACATCACCTGAACACAACCATCCCTGTGTGCTCCACTGCCCTACGCTACCACGGCCGCGAGGAAAGGCATGGAAGGGAGAAGAGAAAGATTCCAGTTGGAAGGGACCGACAAGGACCACCTAGTCCAACCGCCTGACCACTTCAGGGCTGACCAAAAATTGACACATCTTATTAAAAGGCATTGTCCAAAAGCCTCCTAAACACGGCCAGGCATGGGGCATTGGCCACCCCTCTAGGAAGCCTGTTCCAGGTCTTCAGCTGCTTTCCAATTAGCTAATTGGACACACCTATGCCGTGAGACATTGCAACTTTAATCATCTTCTACCTCTCTAACACCTTACTGCCATTAGCAATTGATAACACACACCTGAGACAGGGCAGCAAGTAAGGCACATCACACAGTATTTATCCCACAAAAGACAGTGAAAGAACATGAGGTTGTTTTGCATGGTTTGGTTGGGTTTTGTTTGTTTTGTTTTTTTAAAACAAGGCTTTCCAAAAGAGCAGCACATCTGCCAAGCATACCTAAAACATCACACAAATACGCATTAAACAGCAACTGGCACAATCTATCCGAGGGCTCATCCAGGGTCAAACAAAAGAGCTGTTACATGCATTATCAACCACGTATATACTGCAGAATATATTGTTATCTATCTATTGACTCTGTAAGTGATAGACCAGCCCATGACAATTACTTACAACTTAAATTTTACTAGCTCAGTAAGTGTGAGACCATAGTTAAGTAACCTATAAAGACAGGTCTGATTAAAACCACATATTTTGTTTTAAAATTCATAGGCTACTCCAGAGACCAGAGGTACCATCACCCATACTACAAAACTCAAGAAAAGAACATGTTCAAAACAAGAACAGGTATCACTTATACATAATCCCTCCTGGTTCAGTGCTCATCAGAAACTACTAATCTCCTTACAGCCTCTGCTTTTTACAACTTATCTGCACTTGGAATATTACCAAAATTAATTATTTCAGACTACATCTTTCAGCATGAGGGCTATCACATCTTATTCTGCTAGACAAATAGCCTTACTAAAGAAAAAAATAACCTGGAATTGCCATTTACAGGGGAAAACTCCTTACCTGACATTTATCAATCTTACTCTTCCCCCCTCCCCAGGGTCTTTTTTTAATAGCAAAAAAAACATCGCATGACCACATGACCACCAAAAGCACAACTATTTAAGATTCAGGGACACCTTAATATGAAATGAAAGAACTGGGTTGTTTTTTTTTACTTACCAACAGCTGCCAGACTGCATCTGTGACTTGCACGAAAGGAGTTTCCCCCTCCAAGGCTTCCATTTTATACTGGGGATGGTGAAGCCAGAGCTCACAGCTACTGTGAGATGGCTCATATGGGACAGCTGTGCCAAGAGAAGTCCTGCAGGAGCAGCTACCCTTTCTGAGGTCTTATGGCAGGGGCCTCAATTTACTCGCTCACCTCACATGTGGAGAGGTCCCAGCTGCTTTAGGAGGACTTGATGACAATTGGGTTTGTTCCTCCTGTACGTGACACCCGGAGTTCAGCCTGGGTATATTTCTAAGAGCAAAATATTTCATAATTTGCTGTTAACATAAAGAGAGGCAGAGGCTACCTCCCCCTATTCCCTGAAGTTAGCTAATCTTGCTGAGGCTAATACAAATCTGCTGGCCCTGGGACTTTTTGATTTATTTATTTGTTTTTTTAATGCAGCTCTCTGTATGCTCTGGGAATGGAGGAAAGGTGATAAGAAGCCTTTCCTGCCTTCACGGAGATGGAAAGATTTCCATATTGACTAGTAGCATCCACAGTTTTTGAAACTCTGGAGCAAAGTAATCCTGTACGTAATGCGCTCCCGTAACAACTGCTGCTGTATGATATTGAAGTCCTTTTTTTTTAAAGACATAGTGGCCTGGAGTGGTCTTGTATGTCTGTTCTTCCTTCTCACAGCCAGGATGGAAGTATCTGACACTGGGGAATGGGTAAGGCAGAGAGGGGGATTTATCTTTGGTGACTGCGAGCTCAGGGCAGCAAATTCTCAATTATTTCATCCCTTAAGTAACCAGCTGGTTCAACATCTGTGCCTGCTGTAACTCTGATCTCCTCCAGCATGGGAGAGTGGCTTTTGGACAGGGGAAAAAAAAGAAAATAAATCACTTTCTCAGGGAGTCTGTGCTGCTGTTACCTGCAGAGCTCACCAGCAGCCCCGGAGCGAGCCTAGGATGTGTGGGGTCCTGCCATGCCCCTCTGGTCCTCCTCCCCAGCTGAAAATCCGCTCAACCAGCACTCCACACAAGTCGGGGAGCTGGAAGCGTTTTCACCTGTGCCACAACCGGGGCAGACGAGGCAGGTGGCCTCCTCCACAGCCCCGTACCGGGAGCACTGCACCAATACAGCTGTATGCCCGTACACTTAGCCAGATGTATAGAAATCATCTAATAAAACACAGATGTTAACATCGTACACATGAAAGCATGTTTATCTCATCTGTATGGTGTCTTTCCTAACAACAGCAAGCAAAAAAAATCCTCACCTGCCACCCTGCATTTCAGTACCAAAGAGCATGAGAATGCCACAGTTGAGCCAAAAAAAAAAAAAAAAAATTAATCACCTCTTTTGAAGAACACCTGTCCTCCAGGCGAGTTTGAACATTACAGTCATCTTAAAGAAACGGAGCCCAAGATGCAAGGCCATAGTTTCCTGAAGCAACCAGTGCAGGCTGAGGCTCGTGAAAGGCTAAACACCCCCACCAATGCAAAAGCCCTGTCCTAAGGTGAACCAGACTTCTTTGAAGAGACCCAAGTTCAGGCCTCAAAACCACTGATGGCATTTAAAGATCTTTGCCCGGAAAGTTTAAGGTAGAGTTTGGCACAACAGCTATGGGGTCTACTACCGCCAAGAGGAACAAGGCAGAGTCTCACTCCTGGTTGTGTTTCCTCTTCTCCTTCCTGACCCATGCACATGCATTGGCACATAGCTGGGCCTGAAGCGGTCAGCATGAAGAGCAGAAAACTGATCTATTTTCTTGATTTGCTTTGATTTCAGCTGGTCTAGCACCTGGGACTGCCTCACCAGTGTGTCAGAAGTGCATGTGACAGAAATGCTCAGCAAGGTTGGGACAGAGGTGTAGAAGATCATCCCTTCTGCCAGCCCTTGTTATTAAATTATCTTAATTGTACACCTTTAGGGCTTTTGTATTATTCAACCAAGACTGAACTTGATCTAA